AGTCGTACTCGTAGTAGTAACAGTAGTAGTCGGCATCATCGTCGAAATAGCCTCAGTAGTAGTAGTAGTAGTAGTAGTAGTAGTAGTAGTAGTAGAAGTAGTAGTAGTAGTAGTAGTAGTCGTCGTCGTAGAAGTAGTAGTAGTAGTAGTCGTCGTCGTCGTAGTAGTAGTAGTAGTACCAGATGTACTGGTAGTGGTAGTAGTACCAGTAGTCGTAAGGATAGTAGCATTAGGAGTAGTACTAGTATTAGCAGATAGTATTAATAGTTGTTGAAGTAGTCGTAGAAGAAGAAGTAGTAGTCGTAGTCCTAGTAGTAGTAGAAGTAATAGCAGTAGTAGTAGTCGTAGTAGTAGTAGACGTAGTAGTAGCGGTAGTAGTAGCAGTAGAAGCGGTTGCATTAAGAGTATCATCATTATTCGTAGTAGTAGCAGTGGTAGTAGTAGTGGTAGCCGTCGTAGTCGTAGTAGTGGTAGTAGTAGTACTAATAGTCGTAGTAGCGGTCATTGTAGTCGCGGTAGTAGTAGTAGTAGTAGTAGTAGTAGTAGTAGTAGAAGTCGTCGTAGTAGTAGTAGCAGCAGTAGTCGTCGTAGTAGTAGTAGTAGTAGTAGTAGTAGTAAAGTAGTAGTAGTAGTAGTAGCATCAGTAGCAGCAGTAGTAGTAGCATTGGGAGTCGTAGTACAAAGACTAGTCGTAGTAGTAGTAGTCGTAGTTGTAGCAGCAGTAGTAGTAGTGGTAGTAGTGGTGGTGGTGGTAGTAGTAGCGGTCGTAGTCGTAGTCGTAGTTGTAGTCGTAGTAGTAGGAGTAGCAGTAGTAGGAGTAGCAGTAGTAGTAGTAGTAGTAGTCGTAGTAGTAGTAGTAGTAGTAGTAGTAGTAGTAGTAGTAGTAGTCGTCATAGCCGTAGTCGTAGGCGTAGTCTTAGTAGGGGTAGTAGTAGTACTAGCAGTAGTATTAGCATTAGCAGTAGTAGTAGTCGTAGTAGTAGTAGTAGTAGTAGTAGCAACCGTTGTATCAGTAGAAGTAGAAGTGGTAGTCGTAGTAGTAGTAGTAGTAGTCGTAGTAGTAGTCGTAGTAGTAGTCGTAGTAGCGTTAGTAGTAGTAGTTGTAGTGGTAGTAGTAGTAGTAGTAGTCGCCGTAGTAGTAGTAGTAGTAGTAGTCGTCGTCGTCGTCGCCGTCGTCGTCGTAGTAGTAGTAGTAGTAGTAGGAAGGAGGGGATCAGGAGGAAGCACATCCAACCCATGGAGTCGGGCTCCACCCCCCTCACCGAGCTCGACGAGCTAAAGAAGAACATCGGGGAGATGGGCGACGCGTTCGAGAGCACCACCGCCGAGGATCTCGAGAGCCGCATCTCTCAGATAATTTCCTCGGTCGAGGTCCGGGAGAAGGGGGTCGAGGAGGGCCTCTCGGAGGAGCCGGAAGGCATCGGCCTGGCGCTGGAGAAGGCAGCGCTGGAGGCGACGGCGGTGGACCTCGAAAGGCACCGAGGGGCTCTGAAGTTCTACCGCAGGAAGGCAGTCATCGAGGCGGAGATCAAAAAGGAGGAAGAAGCCCGCGCTGTTCGGCGCCGTGCTGCTACAACGGAGGAGAAGACCGACGGAGCCAAGAAGGGAGAGGGGAAGGGCTTCTTCGGCGTTTTCTTCGCTAAGAAGGACAAGGACAAGAAGACGGGAACCGAGGTCGGAGAAGATACTGGTGCTCGTGGCACCGAGGGGCCCGGGGCGGGGCCCTCTGCGGACTCAGACGACAAGGACAAGCACATCGGGTACTGGAGCAAGCTCACGGCGGAGGAGAAGACGGGTCTTGCCCTCGGAGTGGTCCTCGCAGAGCTGCCCCTGCAGATTCGCGGCCCGCCCAAAATCGCCAGGGCGGCCAAGCGGGGAGGCTCCACCGCGGGCACCTTGATGAAGATGAGTCAGCATGAGGACAAACTCTACAAGCTCCTTTACACGCTCGTCAACCCGATGCGCGAGACCTACGAGCTCCTCGCAGGCCAGCCTGCCACTCGCGACGCCCTCCTTGGGACCTTCCCAGAGGTCGCCCTCGAGGTGCACGGGGTAGATCACCTTTGGGGGCTGATCGGGTTCGCGTTCAAGCCAGAGAATCAGGCTGAGAAGGACGCGATCATCGTGGACCAGTTCCTCAGCCTCATCTGCGGGAACACTGGGAAGTCAGCGGCCGCCCGCGAGGCCCTCAAGGAGAAACCCTTGGTCGTCGGCGACAAGCAGGCCGAGGAACCCTTCAACTTTGCTTTCGGCATGGCGGGGAAGCAGGACTGGACCACCAAGGTTCAGCTGGCCCCCCCCCCCCCCCGGACTGGTACTCCATTCCCGCGGTGCTCGGATCCATCAACACCTTGGAGAGGCTGCTGAACTCCCCCAAGCAGATGCAGATTCGGAAGGAGGTGGTTGGCAGGATCCTCTCCATCCTCGACAAGCTGAGGACCTTCGATTATATGTTTAATACTAGTAGTAGTCGTACTCGTAGTAGTAATAGTAGTAGTCGGCATCATCGTCGAAATAGCCTCAGTAGTGGTAGTAGTAGTAGTAGTAGTAGTAGTAGTAGTCGTCGTCGTAGAAGTAGTAGTAGTAGTAGTAGTCGTCGTCGTCGTAGTAGTAGTAGTAGTACCAGATGTACTGGTAGTGGTAGTAGTACCAGTAGTCGTAAGGATAGTAGCAGTAGAAGTAATACTAGTACTAGCAGATAGTATTAATAGTTGCTTTAGTAGTCGTAGAAGAAGAAGTAGTAGTCGTAGTCCTAGTAGTAGTAGAAGTAATAGCAGTAGTAGTAGTCGTAGTAGTAGTAGTAGACGTAGTAGTAGCGGTAGTAGTAGCAGTAGAAGCGGTTGCATTAAGAGTATTATCATTATTCGTAGTAGTAGCAGTTGTAGTAGTAGTGGTAGCCGTCGTAGTCCTAGTAGTGCTAGTAGTAGTACTAATAGTCGTAGTAGCGGTCATTGTAGTCGCGGTAGTAGTAGTAGTAGCAGTAGTAGAAGTAGTAGAAGTCGTCGTAGTAGTAGTAGCAGCAGTAGTCGTAGTAGTAGTAGTAGTAGTAGTAGTAGTAGAAGTAGAAGTAGTAGTAGTAGTAGCAGCAGTAGCAGCAGTAGTAGTACCATTGGGAGTCGTAGTACAAAGACTAGTCGTAGTAGTAGTAGTCGTAGTTGTAGCAGCAGTAGTAGTAGTAGTAGTAGTAGTAGTAGTAGTAGTAGTAGTAGTGGTGGTGGTGGTAGTAGTAGCGGTCGTAGTCGTAGTCGTAGTTGTAGTCGTAGTAGTAGGAGTAGCAGTAGTAGGAGTAGCAGTAGTAGTAGTAGTAGTAGTCGTAGTAGTAGTAGTAGTAGTAGTAGTAGTAGTCGTCGTCATAGCCGTAGTCGTAGGCGTAGTCTTAGTAGTGGTAGTAGTAATACTAGCAGTAGTATTAGCATTAGCAGTAGTAGTAGTCGTAGTAGTAGTAGTAGTAGTAGCAGCAACCGTTGTATCAGTAGAAGTAGAAGTGGTAGTAGTAGTAGTAGTAGTAGTAGTAGTAGTAGTAGTAGTCGTAGTAGTAGTAGTAGTAGTAGTAGTAGTGGTGGTAGCAGTAGTAGTAGCAGTGGTAGTAGTGGTAGTAGCGGTCGCAGCAGCAATAGTAGTCGTCGTAGTAGTAGTGGTAGTAGTCGCGGCTGTGGGCAAGAGGCGGCAAGTAGTAGTATTAGCAGTGGTCATGGTTGTGGTGCGTAATGGTGGTGGTGGTGGAATAGTGCCACAGCACCATTATTGGAGCTTCGTGCCAGAGCACCACCCCTGGGACTGGAACACTGTCGTTTCCTGAGAAGCCTAAGCCGTGCCCTCTTTGGGACGTTAACGGTCCGATTTGGTGAAAGTGCGGTAACCTGTTAAGACCGTGCTAAGGCGAGAGCCATACATTGAAAAATAACGCCCTGAATCCGAGAATCTCTGGCAAACTTTAAAGACGAATGCGCGCGGCGCCAGGGCGAGGGACACGTTTTGAAAAGGTTCCGCCCTCTAGCCGCGAACTTTGTGCAACATAGCAAATTATGCGCGGCGCCAATGCGAGAGCCACATGTTGAAAAGGGCTCGTGAGCCCGCCCTCCATCCGCGAAATTCAATCGCACTTTGACGACGAATGTGCGCGGGGTTAACGCGAAAACCGCACCACATTTTCAGATTGGCCCGACCTCCATTCGTGAAGTTGTTGTAAAACTGTACGACGACTGTGCGCGGCGCTAACGCGAGAACCACATTTTGAAAAGGGCCCGCTCTCCGTCCGTGACGCCGTTGGAAATTCTCAGTTTCGGGATCATAAATGGTGGGGGCGTGTTCGTGTCAAGCGAAACGCCCTGCCCGCCTCACCGACCCGTGTCGGGATGCGCCGGGAATGGATTACCTATGGGGAATGGGGGGTGGTTGATGAGTTGATGATGGTGATGGTGGCTCTGTTGATGATGAGGATGATGATGATGAGGCTACCTACGGATGATGATGTTGATGATGATGATGATGGTGATGACGATGGTGGTGATGATGATGATGATGGTGAATATGCTGATGGGGAGGAGGAGGAAGAGGAGGAACAGGGGGTAGGAAGGGGAAAGGAGGTGGAGGAGAAGGAGGAGGAAGAGGAGGCATAGGAGGAAGAACAACAAACAATTATAATGATTGCATGAGTCTTCGTATTAATAATGACGCTGTCAAACAATAGGATTAATAATCGATGACTGATAAGATAAGCAACAAATCATGCCACAGAGAACAGCAGTATTATGGCAATGAAGAAGGATCGCAACAATAAGTGTACGCATGGGAAGAGTAAGAAGAAGAAGAAGAAGACGAGTGCTAAGAAACAGTGTACGAATACGAATGATAATATGAATATGGAATTTCGTAATACTATTAGGAAGAAGCCAAAACGAAAACGAAGAAGAAGCACAAGAAGAGGAGGAGGAGGAGGAGGACACGGAACCGACACAGATGCAGCTATGTAAGGGTTTGGCCGCGCGGGGACTGTGGAGGAACAAGTCCTTGCTGGAGGAGAACGCGCAGCTCAGGCGAAATCTTCACATCCACAAGGACCTGGAGAATGAGCTGGCCCGGCGCACGCACGTCTACCAGGCTAGGGGAGTTTCTTATTCATCCCATCGTCTTCTTCTTCCACCTCCACTTCCCCAGCCCCCTCAACCTCCGGGTTCTGACATTGCGTGAGCGTTCACAGCGCTCTTGTGCTGTGGGGCCCTGGAATTCAATCCCCTGCGCTGCGCGCCCGCCTCCTGTTCCGTCCCCTCCCTCTTCCACTTCATCCTCCACCTCTCCCTCCTCCTGCTCCTCCTGCTCTTCCAGATGCGGCATCAGGTGCTGTTGCTTCGGCACACACCGTATTATATGGATCGGGGCCTGGAAAGAACTTGAGCCACGGCCGTGGTGGGGGCGCTCCCAGTGGGGCCGTTCATACCTTGTTTCTGCGCCCGTGTCGACACACCCTTCACAGGAATCATGTCCCGCAGGGAGCTCACATACGGCACCATTGAGGGCAGGGCGCTTCTGCAACGTCTCCGCGCCCATGCCGGCACATTCCTCACACGGACCGTGCCCCATATAGAGCTCTACCTACGGACGCAGTGACTGTGTTCCTACAAAGTCTCCACCCCCATGTCAGCGAATTCCTTACAGGAATCCTGCCCCACATGGATCTGAACGTCCGGAGCATCTTTTCGTCAAAGTCCTGGATTCCCTCCCTCCCACGGCGCGCAGTATATGATGAACGGGCAACGCCTCGCCCTATCCGCAGTTTCATGGGGATGGACTGCTCGACAGGCTATTTTTCAACAGGAGGGGCTTGTACCCTTGGGCCTACATGCTATATGCACTGTGCCTCGCCGAGGGATTCCCTTGCATCTCCTCCTTGGCGCCCGAGTTCTGTCGAATCCTACCCCTCTTCCTTCACATCCCCGCTCCTCGTCGTCTTACACCTGTTCCCCCTCCTCCTCCTCCTCCTCCTCCTCCTCTCTCCTCCTCCTCCTCCTCCTCCTCTCTCCTCCTCCTCCTCCTCCTCCTCCTCCTCCTCCTCCTCCGCACCATAGTTCTCCCCTTTCTCCTCTTCCCCCCCTCCTCCTTCTCAGCCTTCTTCCCCTCTTCCTCTTCCTCCCTCCCGCAGGGGACCCCGGGGCAGCTCTCGCAACGTGGTCGTGGCTGCCCGCGTGCCACGCCTTCTCTGTCGCCTCCCCGGCGGGCTTTTCTGTCGCCACCCTGGCTGGCGGGCCCATTGCAAGGGAGGGCCGCGCCCATTTGGGCGCGACTGTAAGGGCCGTAGCCCATAGAAAGGTCAAGTAGTCGCTGTTCTGGCTACTCAGACCACATGTCATCTCACATTTCGTTTCCAGTGGCATCCCATCTTGCTCATCCAAGGCAGCCGAGACTCCAAGTAATCTCATCGATATCGTCGTGTCTCCGTTGACTGCCAGTATCGGCTAGCCAACTTTGATTCAGGCGGCGTTTGTGAACGAATGTCGGCGGCGCGCTCGGGGGGAAGTGCAAGGGGGTGGGCTTTCTCAGAAGAGTCGGAATTCCCTTGGCCTTCTGAGAGGTTTTCTACGCCTTCCCCGAAGGCACTTATCAGAAGCCCTGCCGCCTTCCGAGAAGGCCTTCTGCTCTTCTCGCTTCCCCCCCTCGCTCGCACCCAAATGTCGCCGAGCCAACCTGGATCCAGACGGCGTTTGTGGACGAATGTTCGGATCTAGTTGGCCAGAGAGAGAGAGGGAGAGAGAGAGAGAGACAGAGAGAGAGAGAGATAGAAGAGCCGTGCACGTCAGAGGTGCGTTAGCAAATGAGTGAAACAACAAATTCCGTTGCTGGAGGCGCGGCTCCGAAACGAGAAGACGCCGTGCAGACACGGACAGCGACGGCGGCGGCGGCGGCGCCGGAGGCGAAGGGGGGGCGAGGCCGAGCGTGTCCGTTGTCCGCCGTCCACCCCGGGTCAGCTCGGGGGTGCAGGGGCTGCCCGAGGCGCTTCTGGCACGGGGTGCCCCCCGGCTCCTTGGGCCAGCGAGGAGCTCCCTTGGAGGCCCCATCGGGGCCTCGTAGGAAGCTCCTCTGGGAGGCCATCTGCGGTCCTCTGGGGACACCTCCGGGGACGGATCTCGATCCCCTCGATCTGATTCGGTATCGATCCTGGCCGGCCCGATCCGCTTCGATCTCCGATGCTCTGACGATCCGCTGCGGCGTGCTTGCGGGGCGCTGTTGTGCATCCTGGGGCGACCGATCCGGTCCCATGGAGCTGAGTCCCGTCGAAGAGGGAGGTCTATGGACATGGGGGGAGGGACGATATCACGGCCAGGGCCACGACATCTACCCGATTTCATGGCCCCCTCATTTTCCATGGCCCGAGCTAAACGGTGTTTTGGCGATTTCGTTTTCATGTTGTTTCTCAGCAAAGGCGGAAGGAAGACAAGACGAGGGAAAACGACTACAAAACGAAAACGGACAACACTATTTAGCTTTAGCCCTGTCTTCTTCTGTTGACGCGCCCCCTGGACCCCGCCCTCGTCCGCGCACGTTCCTTGGGCCATGATGCGCGGCGGGCGCGGACGACCCCCGCATCTCCTCGCTCCGCTCGGCGGCGAGCCATGGGGGGGGGAAGTGAGAAAGGGCAGGCCTTCTCAGAAGGCTCGGAAGGCCCCGGGCATCTGAGAAGTTTCCAAATCCTTCCCCGAATACACAGAACATGTTTCAGAAGGCGCGAAGGCTTTGCGAAGTCCCGCCGCCTTCTGAGAATGCCTTCTGCTTTTCTAACTTCCCCCCCTCGCTCGCCGCCGAACCGCGACACAATCAAGGCGGGAAGTTTGTTTTGCAGTTCTCGGCTGCTGGGGGGCGCTTGCCGGTCTCTGGGGCTATCAAACAGCGGCGCAAGACGAAGAGTTAGCTACGGCGAAAAGGTCTACACCTCGGGGTCCACGCTGTGAAAAAAACGGGGCGTCGGAGTTCTGAGGAGGGCGGAGGGGGGCCAGCGAGTTGGGGGGGAGGTGGAATTTCATCTTGCACTTCTCCCCTCCCCTCTATCCACTTCCTCCTCTCATTCCTCTTCCCTTCTCACCTCCCAGATTCCTCTCCTTCCATCTGCCCCTCCCCTTCCAGGGAGAGTGGGAGAGGGAGTGGAAGGAGGCTGAGGGGAGACGAAGGACTCTCCCCCCCGCCGCGAAGAAGCTCATCAAGAAGATGGACCAGAAGCAGAAGGCCGAGGCGGCCTCGCGAGAACAGTCCCGGGAGTACCGCATCATGAGCAACGGCCCGGAGGACAGACCCTGCAGCGAGAGGGTCACGAGGCAACGTTAGGGCGGGACCAGCTCAGATGGGGGAACCTCGAGCTTGAATCGGCGAGACATCGCCGATGGATCGTCGTTCCGCCCTCGATAGCAGATCCTGACATTCCTGGGCGGGGCGGGCTATCAGGCCTCTATCGGCGATGAATGCGCGATCTGGGGTCGATGCATCCCCCCCGTTGAGCCTGTCCCCCTCTAACGTTGCCCCCCAAGGGCGACCAGTATCGGGTCGGACGTAGTCGGTGGGGGGGTCGGACTCTTTCGTCAAAGTTCTCGGCGATTCGCCAGCCTCAGGGTGCTCTCCAGCAGCTGCGCCTCATCACGACCTTCCTGGAGGTGCCCGACTCGATCGCCCCGCACCGCCGCCAGAGTCCTGAGCCGAAGGGGGGGATCCCGAAGTCTGCTGCACGCCGCCGGACTGGGCCCCGCCGCTGGGCACTCATCTTCGAGGCGTGGCCGCCCCCGGCGCCGGGGAGGCGCCGGGAGAGCCAGCTGCGCGCAGCTGCTTCGCGAGCCCCCCGTCCACCCCGAGGTTTGGGGGGGTTCTGCTCGGGTTTCGCGCCTCGGGGGGCCAGCTTGAGCCGTGGGGGCCCAGGCGCTCCCTGGCTCTCCCAGGCGTTCCCAGGCGTTCCCAGGCGCTCCCAAGCGCTCCCATGCGCTCCCCGGCGCTCCCAAGCGCTCCCAGGTGCTCCCAGGCGCTCCCAGGCGCTCCCAAGCGCTCCCAAGCCATAGCATGCTTTGAAGGCCCTGGATGATGTGCGGCGGCCCCGGAGCCCAAGCCAGGGTGATTCCTGGCCGCGCGCCCGTCCGCATCCCGAGCACGGAAGGGTGCCCATCAGGTGTCACGACGCGGATCTGCCGTAGACGTGGTCGGAGGATCTCGCCGCGCCGCATCGCCGATGCATCGTCGTCGTCTTGCCGTCATCGTCGTCGTCGTCGTCGTCGTCGTCGTCGTCGTTGTCGGCCGTCGTCGTGGTCGTCGTCGCCGGCTCAGGGGACCGAGCGAACATTGACGGGGACGTACTGATTATCACGCGCCCATCTCACGTGCTTCATTGTCTGGCGTCTTGACCCCTTGCACGGCACGAGTCAGCTCCTTGCGCCTGTCGGGTAAGACCTTGGAAGCAGCAGGGTGTAGACTTCGGGGGCACGCCGCTGTCAATGCACAAGGGCGAGTGGAAGGTGCAGCAAGAATTCGTCAAAGACGGCAGTGCATAAGGCATTCGGAATACAATGTCGTCTGCACGGTCATCCTTCATTTCTTACCTCGATCATTTTTCTCTCTATCTCACTTCAGTCTCATTCTCATGTGCTCGCTTTCTCCTCACCTTTCCGATCTGTTTCCGCATTTGCAAGTCCATTTCCCTTTCCCTTTTCCCACGCCCCTAATTTTCCTCTTCCCTCCCTCCCTCCCTCCCTTCCCCTCACCCTCCCTCGGTCTATCGTTCCCTCCCCTCCCCGCCCCCTCCCCTATCTCTCACGGATCCCCATCCCCCACCTTCCATTCCCTCTCTGCGTCTTCGTCTCGCTCTCCGTCTCCTTCCCCCTCTCCTTCCCTCTCTCGTCACCTCTGCGCCTAACGGGTGTTCTAACAACATCCCCGTCCTTCTCATCGTCCTTCTCCCTCCACCTCTCAATCTTCACCTCCCTCGCTCCCTCCCTCGCCCTCTCCCTCTCCCTCTCCGTCCTCCTTCTCCTCC